CACACACAAACATATATGCCTACACGACATATATACACATGCATGCACACACACATACACATACATACACACATATATACATGCACATACACACATACACACATATACACACACACATTGAAATACATTTTCAGAAAATTATACAGTACTGAACTGCCCACTTGAATAACAAATTACTTGATAATTTTAGTCTGTATTATGACTTTTAATGTAGTCATACTTGCTTTTCTAAAAGGTATAACGGCTTATTTATGAAGAATAACCACCATGTAGACTGGAATAAAACTTCAAGTTATGAAGGAAACAAAATTTCGTCACACATCAAATGATCGTTTGGTAGGGCTTAACTTTAAAGTCTCTCTAAACCTAGAAGCACAATAATCTTAAGGACAAAAAGAAAACACCTTAACTAACAGTTGAAAATAAGCAAAAATAACTCTGGAGCCCCTTTCCCTGCGACGCTGGAAACGTCTCAATAGCTTTTACTTCAAAGCGCAAGGGGAAGGCTGTTTAGCCTTGTTTTTGCCTGTGTTATTGAAAGGTGGTACAAAGGTCTGTTCCAGGGAGAGAGGCTATTTACCCAGCCGAAGGCCAAAGCTGACTGTCATATCCAAGTTCTAAAGTCTTACAAAAACATCAGCGTACAGTGGAAACTCTGACCTGCGCTGCCCCTGGTGAGTCGGTGCGATTCAACAATAATAACAATAATACTAAATCTGGTTTTCCTACAGCCAGCCCCATAGCACATTCTTTCTGGGAGGAAAATCAATTTATATTTCCAGGCAGGAATTCCAAAGTAGAACTGGGTATTTATCATGACTGAACTGAACTGAACTGACAACCCCCTTTGCACTTTATTTTAGAGACTTTCCTCCGTGTTTACGTGTAAGATGATTCAAGCTACCCAAGGAACCGAAGACACCTCGTGTGAAAATCGGCCTTCCCGTGGGACCCCGAGTCTCTCGCTATCATTCTAATCTAATTAAGGTATGGTTGCGATTTGTCCTATTAAATATTCCATTAAAAATACACGCTTGCAAAGTATGCACTTGCTTCGCCCTGGCAGCCTCCTTTGTAGCTGCCGTCACTGGGTTGAAGCATTTGCTTTGAAACGCCTGCCAACTATTTTTGCCCCATACCACAGTAACAATGCAGTAATGTAGGAGTGATTTATCCAAGGGAGTTTATAAGTGTGGGGGCCCGCGTGGAATGCTCTCTGAAGTTCAAACAGACTCCTAAATTACAAGAAGACCCTTAACTGAGCTCCGTGCCCTTTGCAGGTGGAAGTGCCACCAAGCAATTCATTAACTGCTTTCACTGAAAACAAAAACAGGGGTCAAAAAACACGGATTTAAGCAAATGTCCATCAGCTACATAGCAAGGCGCCTGAACCTCCCCGTGTCTGCCAGTCACTTTCCCGTCGTTTCAATGCGGGCGTTCACTAGGGACACACTTTAAAAAGCGAAGCCAACGCCAGCAGCTTTGCTTCCACGGTAACACCCCTCATTTCTACCCAGGTCTCCATGCCGGAATAGCTTCCCCGAGTGGCCTGACAATCAGACTTTACTCAAAATAACTAAATGAAGGACGCGTTTGCTAATTTGTCTCTGGTTTCACATCTGTGTGTGGCTTTTTCTTTTCTTTCTTTCTTTCTTTTTTTTTTTTTGTTAAAGACCCACAACAAAGGGAGGAAACCGCTGTTTGCTGTGGCTGCAGAAGCTGGATGCTCGTTTAGAAAGGCCACTGTGTCCAAAGATCAGGTTGGCAGCTCTTTTGAGTTTCCCGTACTGGGCCCTGCTGTGGGAAAGAAAGACAGGAGCCACAAGGCCGTATAGGTAGAGACCACCCAGGGCTGTGCTCCCTTAGCAAACAGCGACCTCCTATTAGACGCTGCAAGGCCAAAGCGGGAAAACCCCCCAATGCAGCCCCCATGGATCCTGGAGGATTTTCTGCTTCACCCTGCTCTGTAGGGGCCTCAAGAACACAGACAGGGCTGATTATTTTAAAAAACAATGCGGGACCACACTGGGCCTGACCCTGCACAGAGCCCCGGCCAGTGTCGTCTGACCCTCCTTTCTCCTCCGTTACTCTTCTATTTATGGAGGACCATCATCCGTTTTCTTTTCTGAAAGACCTGTCAGGAACGTGGTCTGTGGGAAACAGGCACAAATGTGGACTTTTAAGACATCAGACGACGTACATGGGCCACCTCTGTACGCCAAGGCCTGGACGCCAGGGCCTGGACACTCAACTAACACCTTCCTCCTCGATACGTAGACCTTCTAAAGGGCAGCTCTGGAAAAAACAGCATGGGTGCTTCCTCTGTCATCCGAGCCACCTCTCACCTCAAGATGAGGGAACACCAGGCCAGTGCGGGAACCAAATAGTTAGATGCGAAGTCTGGCTGAGAAGTCTGGCAGTGACTTTCATAGGAATAAAGCAACTGAATGATTTCTAACACATTTTATATTTCCAGACTGTTTTTGCAGGGACAGTAAAAAAAATAAAATAAAATAAAATGTTGGTTTTGCGCATCTGTGCTAATACTGGGGGTTAATTATTTGTTCCATATTGAGTCCAGAACTTAATGAACATCTTTGGAAAGGACTGGCCTGGGGTGAAGAATTAATTAATAATACAGAAAGGAAAATCCTGGAGGAACGGCAAAGAGGGGCCCATCAGACCCTTCTTGGGATTTGTCAACAGTGAGGAGGAAGATGTTGCCCAGTTACACCTGGTGGGCAATGGGGCGTGGCCACTTGACTAGATAGGCTGAGTACATGCTGGGAACTTTAAAGGCCCCAAAGGCAGAGCTTCTATCTACAGGAAGCCATCAATCCAATAGAAAGGATCTGCCTATTAATGGGTAGATGAGTGTCTTCGAAGCAATTAACACATGCTGCCTATTAAGTGGCCTGGAAAAGAGTAAGAAATCGTTAAGGAATGCTTGTTGGATACACGGCTGGCTTTGCACAGTGCTGTCCTCAGTAGACAGCTGATCTATGCGCTTTCCAAATAGTTCAATGTGTGTTTTGCAAATTATTTCATGTGCGGTTCAAAAATCTTTTTATCGGTTGTTGTTTTTACGCTTTCTCCCCCCAGAGTTAATGAGTTCACTGAAGCCCGTTTCTTGTCTGGGGCTTGGCATGGTCACTGAGGCCTGGAAGGGAGGATAACATCTTGGAAGGAGAAGCCTCTTGTCAGATTCATTGTGTGTCTTGAAAGGTCATGAACGTTTTGTACATATGACTATTTTAATATGAAACTATTTTTATTGACAGTGAAATGCTGAGTGATTCATGCGTTGTTATCTTGAGTCCTTTGGTTTAAAAAAAATCGGGCAAAATTCAAGCTCACTAACATTGTAGATTAGACCTGGCTCCAGGCAATTTCTCTTCTTTGATCTCCTGTGTCTATAGTTTAAGAATTCAAGCATGTTCTATAGACATAAGCAAGGCATGCTTCTTCATGGCTTTCTCAAACCTCTATGGAATCATCACGGGCTTCCAGCCACACACCAAGTAGGAGACGTGGATCAAGCGGTGGGGGTGAGATCCCCTATGATTCTTCCTACAAGAGCACCAATTATCAAATCAGGGTCCTATCTTTACAACTACAACCTTGTTTAGCCTTAATTCTTTACTCAGAATACTCATGCTGGTGATGGAGGTTTTGACACATGAGTCCATGAAATCCTTAAACATTGATTCAAAAATTTGTGTCAACTAAAGTTTGTCCCCTTAACATGGAAACGTAAATGAAGTAGCATCTTTTCAGTATTTTAAATTTATTTGGAAATTAAGGAAAAGCGTACAGTTTTTGGAAGTAGAAATTCTCAATTCTGGTGTGTATTACTACTGGCAATATGTCAGGATGCACCAAAACTATATAAATTTACACATTTTTATATTTTTACTTATTTTTTGTGAATTCCATACATGAATAAAATGCATTTTGATAATATCTACCCTTCACTTAACCCACTCAATCCTATGGATGCTCCCTATATCTCCCTCTAAACTTCATGTTTATTTTTATTTTTTTTTAAAGAGAAGAGTCCAGTTAGTATTGCCTATATCCATGAGTATAGGGTGACCGCTGACACATGGGCAATCTACCACGGGCCACATTTCTGAAGAAACCTGATTCCACAGAAGCTGAGAGTTCGTGTGCGACATGCCAGCCATGGCTCCTTGCTCTACAGTCATTCTGCCCCCCGAGTCATGCAATAGGGAGCGGAGAATCCCATTTGTGAATGAGTACTCCATAGTCACCTCTCTTCTGTGCTTTGACCAATTCTTTGTATTAACTCAGAACCACTGCAGGAAGAAATTACTCTGGCCAAGTTTGAAAGCAGAACTAAAGTATGGGTAATAAGGTTAATATTTAGTGGACTGTTGGATACTATGTTGATTTATTAAAACATAGTTAGAGTTTCTCTCCTAGCATGTATGAACCATTCAGTCATGGTTTGGGGCCAGTCGTCCAGTACCAGGTGCTATGGGACAGTGGTTTTACCCTATAAAGATTTATTTCTTTTACTTGTTTAATAAAGTTCTGACTAGCCAGTAGCCAGGCAGATAGTATAAATGGGGGGACCAGGCAAGAAATAGAGGCAGGGTGACGACAATTCTGGGAAGAGGAAAGAGTCAGTCTGTAGTCGTCACCCAGACACAGAGGAATTCAGATGCAGAGCAACAAGATGTGCCTGCCTCACCAAAAAAGGTACCAAGTCTTGTGGCTAACACAGACAAGAATCATGGGCAAATATAAGTTATAAGAGTTAATAAGAAGCCTGAGCTCATAGGCCAATCAGTTTATAATTAATATAAACCTCTGTGTATTTCTTTGGGACTGAACAACTGTGGGACCGGGTGGGACAGAAAATTCAGTCAACAACCAGGCATGAGTTCCCTCCTAATGAATCGTCTTCAACCCACACTGACAGCTGTTGGATAGCCCCAAGTAGGTGTCTTAGCTGGTCATCATCGCAGCTCTCAAGATTTAAAGATGCAGAGGACTGTTGATAATTTTTCTCTTCCCAGCCATCTGTATAGTACATCCTGCACAATGGAAGCTGGTTGTCAGTGAGGAGTATTCCCTTATTGGCATCTTAATTTCTTGAGATTCTGTAACTGAAGTGGGTGGTGTCTTCAGAAATAGGGTTCTATCTTCATGTTCTGACTGGCATCCAAGAATAGTAGCAATAAGCGATTTTGTTTTAGAGTCTCCTGAATCATTATCCCCTATAATGGTTGATCTATAGATGAACGTGTTGCATACTTGGCACTGGGCTTTCTCTCTGACAGTCTATGAATTCTAAGGGGAAGATTAACCTCTAATTTGAGGTAACTCCAATTAAGTTATTTCTTATATGCTTTCAGAAATCTTATAAAGTAGTAGGCTTCCATACAGCTTTTCGAATATCCTTAATAGCATTGCCCCTCCCCAAACTTCTGTCTGCTGTAATCTCCCACCACTCTTTCCACTTAAACCCCCTACCACCAGTTTTCATCTTTTCCACTTCAGATCACCTGTGTTCTACTTTCTTTCTCCACTACACTATTTATTTATCCCTTCATCCCTTGATGGTACCCTTCTACTTCCCTGGGTTCTCCAGGAACTCCAAGCTATACTCACAAATTGAAAGATTAGGAACTTGGATCTGCATAGAAGAGAGAACGCATGGCATATGACCTTTGTCTTTCTGAGTCTGGATCACCTAATTCAGCATAGCTTTTTCTAATGCCCATCCATTTACTCGAAGAGCTCGTGATTTCATTGCTGTCCTTTACTGATGAATAGCACGCCGCTGTGGGTGCGCACCACATTCTCATCATCCACTCGTCAGCTGGTGGACATCTAGGCTCTTGTGATTAAAGCAGCAATGAATATGGAGGAGCAAGTAGCTCTGTTGTAGAGTATAGGGTCTTTGAGGTAAATGCTCAAGAGTGGTAGAGCCGTCTCCTAGGAGTTGTATGGGTCAA